TCATGTGGAGAGGTTTCAGGCGAAAGCCTTGTGGCCAAAACATGTGCCCATTTTCTAGGACGTACTGCACACAGACATCATTGAAATCATCCTAAATCAGTATCCTCACTCGCCAACCTGAAGCCAGTAGGTCTCACCCCTCAACTGCCTCCTAAATCCTTGTCCATGAAGGGCCATATTTGGCTTGGGGATGGGGCAGCTTGCTCTGCTGCAGGAGCGCGTCTTCGACACCGAAAAGGGGGTCGAGCAGGCAAAGCGACCATCATTACCTCGGGCAGCCATCATAGGGATCCCGTATATTTGTTGATCATGGTTCGATTTGTACCTCAAATCTACTGCCCGGGGACTTCATAGTGTGCAACGGAGCGCTTTAAAAGTTCTGGGGTATGGGTGTCTGAAGACGAATACGATGCTTGGGCCCTTCAGCCCTCAGCATTCCATCCCTAAAGCCTATAATCCTGCTACCAAAGTCTCACAAAAATGTGTTTATGCGTCTATGTGCGAGTACATTGAAGAATACACAGATCAATTCGTACTAGTTACCAGTCGACCTCTTTGACGGAGGTGCTTGTAGGCCCTGTGTTCTGAAAAGCACTGCAAGTAAGTACTTCAACCGTTGAACATCTCTGAACCTGCAAACCCCCAGGAGCCGAAACCTGCAAAATCTCACAACTCCGAAGCAGTTTCGCTGGGGGAAGCCTCGAGGTCGTCCTCGGACTTTACGTCATCCGCGGAGACAACTTGGCTGCTAAGCTTCAAGTTCCAGCCAAGTAGCGGAGAGTTTCAGATTTCCTGGAAGCGCAAACAATTATGCTGCTGAACATTCATTTGTCATCCTCCACTCCGCGAAGGCGACTCCAAACCGAAACCTGCAGCCCGGACTCGCCCTCAGCCTCGCACATCCCCGTATCCATGACAGCTCAAGGCTGTTGTGGGAGAAGTTGACGAAGAGATTGACTCCCGCATTGACCTTTCGTGTCTCCGGCACCGGCTTGTGTCTGAGCAGTAGCCAAGATAGTGTAGACATATTGCTACATGGCAGAAAACAAAGACGGTAGAACTGCCACTTTGCATTCCGCAGAGAAGAAGGCCACGAATTGCAATAGGTCGGGGTCACGAAGGGGGGCTTTGAGCATTGGCACATGCGCTTTTGAGGCTTCTATTTTCATTGTCCTTAGCAACGAACCCGACAGCATGATGGGAAGCTTAGGAACTTAGAGTGTCTGCTTTTAGGGGCTGTGACAGGGGGGTGGGGCTATGGATTTGGGGAAATCCCTAAGGCTATGCTCACATAGCCTCATAGATCACTGGATAACTTGACGACAAAGACCAGTTCCAAGCACATTTAGGTTTCTTTGGAGCTCTACCTTCATGCAGTGACCCTTTCCCATAAGACCGCCAGGAAGCCTACACCCCCAAGTCCAGAATCCAGCACCTCGAAGAATCGCCACTGAGATTTCCTGAACCCTCTCAGCAGAAAACATCCCCGATATCCCAAAGTCCTTCTAAATCATCCCGACGAAGTTTGGGCCGTCAGAAACTTGCCACGCAAGCAAAAGACCAACCTGCTTGAGCTCAGGAGGCCTCCCTGTGCCTCAGCCCCAAAACCACAAATGCTCACCAAGATCCCCCCGCCCAAAAACTTGGCCGAACCCTGACTGGCACTGTCTATTTAAGCGTCCGCGGCCAGGAACATCAGAGCTGCACCACTGAAACCCGTGGTACACTAGGGCCGCGAGCCGCACATGCGAGTGGCGCTCCCTCTCTTAGCCACTCTAAAAGCAGATCAATCAAAGGACCTCTTTCAGCCGTAAGGCACCCCCTTCAGCGAGTTTTCATCTGTGGTTGTGGTAACATAGGATCAAGTTGGTGCGCAGAAGGTTATGACAAGGACGGCCTTCTTTTAAGAAGCTTTTATTAGGGGAAGCTTCTCCTCCAAATGGCTGCCTCTCCGGAAACTTCTGAAGCCCTTACCTGGACGACTGTTACCATGTCATGCGCAGAGCTCCCAGTAGCGTACTGGGAAGATGCATCAAAGACCGTCTCCTTGGAGCCTTGCAGGTTGTTCATGCCTGGGCCCTTAGTAGAGCTTAGCAAGACTTTGTGGTTCAAGGAAGTAGCATCCGATGCTAGAACCACACATCCATGCTGGAATTTATAAAAGTAATGAGGTCCCAAGGAGACGCACCGTTGATCCAGGGGCTCAAAAGGCAGTGCAGTGTAAGCTGTCACCCCGCCTCGAGATGGCAGAGCCTCCAGAGTGTGAGTCCCTCTCTGGGGGCCTTACATAACACGGATTCTGTTGCTTTCCTGTTGAGATGGGAAACTACTTTGAGATGCAGCTGCCTCACAACCACTTTAGAGCATGAGTAAAAGCCATGCTGAACTCTGCATCCGAAGCGTGCTCCTTTGGGTCCCTGATTGACGTATATCCGGAACGTCCGGAACCAGACGCATGCCAAGGTGATCGGCAAAACGCTGGTGTTCAAGCTTTTGAGATTTAGATTTAGGAATCCTTATTTTGGAAGGAGGGAAGGGGTTGAGTACGCTGTATATCCTTGGCCCTTGAATCGGAAAAGAAGAAGTCCTGCATATCCCCGATCTGCCCCAAAAACTGCTTGCAATCAAGACGACTTCTTAATTTTGTTGTGGATGTGGTTTGCGTCCGAGCTACGGCCCCTTATTGCACGAGCTTCTTGTTCATCAAGCATCTCTTCGGGACCTTCATCCTCACACCAGGATCCAAATAAGGAGAATGTTGCTATTCAAACAAAAGATCCCAGGACATTTCACGAGGAAGGGGTTCTTCCTTGGCCTTTGTTCAACAAGAAACCGCCGCGTGGGGCTCATGACATTTACATCTTCCTTTTTGAAAGCCGGCCCCGCCACGCCCCTTGCGCTGTACGGCCGTGCCTGGAACTCAGAGCTTGTGCGCAGAAATGTGAGGGAGGCCGACAGGTTTTGGAGACTAGGGCGTGAAGGTTCGAGGTAGGGGCTGAAGATGTTTTAGGGTTTCAGGCGGCTCAAGTTACAGTTTTTGAGGCCTCCCAAATCTTAGTTGTTTCGTGTTAGGTCTGTTAGGTTCCAGCTTCTGTTGCTGTGCAGAGGCTGCTGAGATTCGTAGCAGATAAATAAATAGAGATTTCAGGTCAAGCGATCATTTCCCAATCGAAACTCCTTTCACAGGTGCACATACCGAAATCCTGCATCGAACGCCTAGGTGCCCACAAAACAGAAGGGCTTGGTTCGCATAGGGTTTTCCTATGGGGTTTCAACTATGAGCCTCAATTAGCCAAATGGCTTCGGGCTTCAGCCCAAGGAAACAGTGTGTGAAAGCTTTAGGCTCACGCAGGTTAAATGATGAAAGAAGCTTCAACTGCAGCTCAGCGTCAGACTGAAACTACTGGGATTCTCAAGGGACCTGCTACTCACGTTGACGCTAAAACGACTGACAAAAGCACGTTCAGAGGTTCCGACACCGCGATGCTCTCCACCTTGGGAAAGAGAGCCTTCGGGCGGAGGTGCGTGGCAATCGGAGGGTTAAGGGTGCTCCGTACTGGCTCCTGTGAGGGGTGTCAGTCTTTGCAGCTCCAGTTTGGTTCTTTCTGAGGAGACTTTTGCTGTTTTTTTTGTTGGCTTTCGGGTTTGTTCCAGACATAGGGACAAACTTGTTCTAGTGGAGGCCGCAGCCGCACATGGAGGCTTTGACTGCCTGGGAGTTCCTAGGTTAGTAAAAGTGTGTTCCGGATGATTTGTTATTCCACGCGTTACGCCGGGTTCCCTTGCAGGAAGGATTTCTAACGAGTCGGACTGGCAGTTTTAAGTAGGCCAAGTAAGATCAAGTAAGCATGAGCGAGAAGCAGCTATCTCAGCTAAGCCAAGATCACAAGCGGAGAGGTCTGCCCTAGTGGCATGCCGTCATGCGGCCGCAGTGCCTGCAGTGACATTCAACGAGGCGGACCCGCTTTGCTAGTCTCAGACTTGAACACTGAGGGTTTGAGAGATGCGCTTGGTTTCCTGCCAGTCGATGTGACGTTCATGGTTCAGCGGTCAACGCTCTACAGGAAAGCCTGCTAAGATGACATCCCGGACAAGTTGGCGTTGCCATATGACAAGGTCTTCAGAGTCATGGTGCATGCAGGTGAGGTGTTGTGGGCGTTTGACGGGACCCCTCTCATGGGCATGTGCTGCCCTACCTTAAGGCAGGAGTCACGGCGAAGCGAGACAGAACCACACTGAGCACACCGCCAGTTGAGATGGATCCGCATTTTCCAGATGAAAGCTGTACGTTCATAGATTCTGAAAATGCAAGTTGCGCAGGTAAAGTTTATCAAGGAGGACGTGGAGAAGGCCGTGCTTTATTTCAGCGAGCAAGGTGTAAATTTGAGCTGGCAAAAGAAGGAAGTGTGGCAGTTCAATCACGCTGCATTTAGGATTGTTGGGGCTCCTGGAAGGTGTAGAGTTGGGGCTGCAGGGGTGACCTCTGCAAGGATTGGCCTTTGCAAAGACTCTGTCTTGCGGAAGCTTGCGGCTATTGTGCACATGTCCGAACCAGAAGATGCGCAGAAGTGCCGTGCTAGGATTTCTACCTGCGTCAGCAGAACATCAGACTCTCAACGCCAAACCAGCTTCTTGACCGGCTGAACCCTCCCGCACTTGAACCTCGGATGCTCAAGCATTCTCGCAAACTTCTCAGAAACACAGATCGTCGCACATGAAAAGGGGAGCATTCCCTTTTCGCATGCCTTGCTGCAGACCACAGCATTCTCCTCAATTGTGTACTTCGCTGACCCTCCTGACCCTTGAAACCTAGATCATACGCCCAAAGCCCCTGAGCAGCAATCGCCTCCCCCTCATGCCAATTCTCCTCCCCGAGATTAAGCATTCCTGTCACGACTATGTTCGGTCCTGTACTAATCACTTCTTGTGGAACAATTAAGATTTTGAGGGAGGTGACGGTGATATCTTTGCCATTTTAGCCCCGCCTGAATCTGCAGGTCATGATGGAGCTGCCGGACTACAACTTCTACGAGTTCAAGGAGTCTGAACCTAACCCGTACCAAGGCGGGCAGGGCTAGGGACCGCTGGTCTAGGCTGTTCGCCCTGGGAATTTGCGCTCCTCTGCCCTCTGCAAGGGGAGTCCTTGAAAAGACCTGGACCTGCATCCTGAGCTTTAGGGCTTCGTCCACGGCCCAACCCCTGCCATGACAGGCACGACGCTGGACAGGAGCATTTTGTTGGACCCACCTGCGCCTGCCTCTAGGCTGTTTAGCTCAGCAATAACTTCTTATCGTTTGGCCTGAACTCTTCCAAGCACAAGAGGCACTTGACTTGCGCGCTTGGAAGCTCTATACCATAGCCTTAGTTGGTGCAATTCCTTGCGGCTTCCTGAGTAGCTTAGGTCTTGACCGCGCCAAAGTTCGAGTTCTCCAAGCTCGAGAACGGCAGCATGGTCATCAATTGATGAGGATGTTCGGACGGCAGAACTTGCAGTAATTAGCAGAAAAGTGAACAAGAGCTGCCTTTTCTTCATTTGCTCTCATACGATTCGCGCGGTTGTTTTCATCATGCCTGCTTGTAGCATATTCCTTCTTGTTCTCGTTCCTACGGGTACGCTGTTGCGGCACCTTGCTGGAGAATTCCCACTTGAGAGATCTGTGAAAGTCCAAAAATAAGCTAGTTCCAACGACTTCGCACTTTCATCGCGGGTCCACAGCATGGAATGAAGGAGACTTTGGAACCTTCACCACATCCCCTGAAACAAAAGAACAGCTCATTCCGTCATTTCCCACGGAGTGTGTATACTGAAAATAATAGATTCCATAAATGGGGCGCTCTCATATAGACCTCAATGTACTTTGCGGACTTCCAAAAAATGAGCTCCCTTAGTCTTAGTGTTTCCCCAGATTATTGCCCCTGGCCTGAAGGCATGAAGATTGCGTCGATCGACAAGCAGGGTCTGACTGCGCGTTTGGGCTCTTCGGCCTCAGGTTACTCCAGTGTTTATATACGTGATGTACGGGCCTAGTAGCTTTACAGAGGTTGGGGAGTTCATCAGACAATAGCTCTATGAAACTAATGTTGATAGATTATATGCAATATTGCTGAGAGGGTTTGGATCCTCATTGATGCTATGACTGCAACAACTGCTTTGGAGTCTTAGGGGTTGCCAGGCAAGGCTGGCCTCAGCGCGAAGAAAGCGCTTTTCGAATTTCCTGAGGGCATACAGAAATTACCCATAGCGTGGCCATTTGACAGGGCTAGACTGAAGTTGACAACGTCCCGAACAGAAGCGCTCGATGCTTTTTTGAGTCTTAGGCTTGAAGGTCTTTTTCGGGGTTCTAGCATTGGCAAACCTCACGACCATGTTTATCCCACCTGAAGCCCGTGGCCCATTATGACCCTCAGACAGTGGACTGACATTGAGAATACAAGCATCACTGGTAGTTGCACTCGCAGCACCCTTGAAAGGACTGCAGAATTGGCCAAAAGTATTTCTGACGTATTTACTTTAAGAGGCGTGGAGACGCCAGGGGTCCACACTGGCAACCCTTGCTCCAACCCATGCTTTGGATCAAGGACTCTACGTGCATGCGGGGTCTCGCTTCGAGGTCCCAGGCAAGTCCGGGATTCGCTCCGCAAAAACCATTCGTTCTTCATCCTGCAACTCTACTACATATATTCAGGTCCAGTGGCACATGTAGTGGCTCGTTAGTCTAGATAGACAGCAGGAGGTACGCTCCACCGTTACACTGGTAAGCATCTCGACCATCAAAGTGTGGAGGCCAGGCGGACAGGAACGTTGGTGATTTTAGCTTCGTAGACACATAAAGCAGATCAACACAACCGAACCCATGGAAGACTGGAATCAGGCCCAGACTTCAACAGATAGAATCCTGGACCGAAAGTCCACCGAAGTAGCAAAGGAAAAGACGCAAACCTATCAAGATCTGGTGGTATTGGGTCAGCATGAACTGGCGTGGTGAAGTGCAGCTCGCCACGTATGCGCCCTCTAAAAATGCATCATGACGCATGCGTATGGAAGATAGATTCTGACCTCTTACGTATCACTTTGTCCTTTGCCTATGACTCTCTAGGCAGAGACTCCCTTGCCCCCTTGCCCTGATAGGCAACCTGGGCGTGGCCCACATGGCTGCCCTGATGGGCTACCGGTCCACTGCACACCTCAGCCATCTCAGGAGCCAGCGGGCTTGGGTTGGAAGCCCATTTCAAGGAGTTCTAGGGAGTTGGGTATTTCCCAAAGTTAGGATCCCAGTTTGGTACCCTTAAATATTAGGTGCCGTAGTATGGTCTATGGCCAAAGGGGCCCATATTTTTAAAACAACCCAGGTACAGGGCTCTAGCCCTATTTGGGATTTGGGGTTTAGGGTTTGCGGAGGAGCCAGCGGATTGGCGGATTGGGTTTAGGGTATAGTTAGGGTATATGGGGACCAGCATGGAGAAGCAAGTGGAATACAAAAGGGATGCGATTAAATAGGGACTATATCGGGATGATCCCAACGATGGAGAATCAAATGGAAAAGAAAATGGAACATCTTTTGGAAACTTGGTTACACAGGGCCTTATACAATTGGGGTTGGAAGCCATTTTGTTGGAGATCTAGGGAAATATAGTGCTCAAGCATTATTTAGGATGTGGTGTTTAGGGTTTTCGGAAATAGGGCTGAGGAGGAGGATCTAGGGTTTGGGAGTTTGGGGTCTGGGTTATAACTTGGGAGACCTACGGGGTGCTGAGGCTTAATAAGAGTTCTTGCGTGTTGAGCTCAAAACCTTCGCTCCCAAACCCTCCGTAAAATGCCAGGACTGTGAAGACCCTGGAGCAGCTCGGTGCCCACCTCAGCTCCTCGGCCACTGCAGGCCGCGAGGAGATCGCTTACCAGGCGCCATAACAGGGTCTGGGATTGAGTGCTAGGACTGACAGCTCGAGGAGCAGGATTTAGAGTCCCTAGAGTTCAGGGCTTCGGGTCCGGGGCTTCATTAAAGAGGTGGTTTGGGTCCGTTTGGCTGTTGTGAATCTTCGGTTTTTGCACGGCTTTTGGGAGTTCATGGCGTCTGTCATTACAGAAAACCAAGCCTGGGGAGCTTGGTGCCAGAATCTCCTCAAGGATCAGGCTGTCAATCGCTTGGGCACAGTACTTTGGAGGAAGACCATCAGGTCCCACTGCAAGCCTCCAACATGACTTGATCCTCAATGCCGAATCTTGACGCATCACATACCCATCTTAGGAATCACGCGTCATCACCCAAGCACGCGAGTGCCTGAATCTTTTAACAAGCCCAACACACCTAAACCATAGTTCCACGAACGTTTATGTGATAAACTTGCAAAACCCCTACCAAACAAAAACCCTGAAGCCCTACCAGGCTCAAACATCCGCAGGTGGAGCTGCAGCGTGAGTACTTGGCCCTTGCGGTCCCTCTCATGATCGGCAACGTGCTCTTCCCGCGCATGCTGCCCTGCGGCTGAAGATGTTACTTGAGGGTTTTCACTCGCCTCATAAGAGTTGTGTATGAAAATCAGTGGCAGTGCACACGACCTCTCCAAGACAAGAAGGTTCCTTGGTATCATGACCCCCGAGGGCTCAGCATTCTAGAGTTCATAGGCTAGCAGTCCCTGCAGGGTTTGTTCTAGAACAAGGAAAGCAATGCTGGTGTTTGCTCCAGGAACATAAGCGGCCCAAAAGGCATGTCTCAGATAGGGAGTTAACTGGGCACTGTAGCATCCAGCACAAGGCCTCCGAATGCGCGGGAACCCTGAGTGTCCGGTGTTTCTTATAGATGGATCCTAGACCGCTTGCCCTAGACTCAGCTAATGTCGAAGTCTGCAAAATTGGGAAACTGATCCCTTGCAGCTTTTATATCTTTACTCCAGACCCTATTCCTCAAGGGTTCGAGAGTTGTACTCCTCAGGCCGTGCCCCTAAACAGTTCCCCTAATATGGTCCCATAAGTGTAACCAAACCCTTATATTAACCAATGTAGTCCCCTTGGGTGTTTCGCTCCTCACATTCCTGAAGTCGAGCTTGCAAACACAGGCCGTGGGAGGTGAAGGCAGCGCAATCCGACGTCCCCACCGCAAAAGAGGCACAAGGGTTGCACGGTTTCAACAGGGATTTGCGGGGGGTTAGAGCGTCGCGGGCTAAATGCGAAGTAGTACAGACATGCAGCCAAGTCAAGCTGAAGGGTGCTGATTGCTTCGATTTTCAAAAACAGGCTCCAAGCTTGCTGTTTGGTGAACAGGTTTGCAGGTCACGGGCTTACGAGGTGGAATTGGGCAGCGTTCTGTGAGCAGCGGGATTAGGGCATGGTGTCTTCGTCCTGACGGCTACATCTTGACCCCGAGCCTAAAAGCCAAAACTCAAAAGCCATCTTCGAGTCAGGTAGAAGCCCAAAGTCTTAAGATTAGGACTGAGGGGGTATCGTATCTGCAGTACAAGGTCCAGAAGACAGTTTCGGGGAGTAGAAGGGGCGATTGGGAGTATTTAGGGTTAGGTTACTAGGTCACCTTCCTCCTTTTGAAGCACCCCCCGCAAGGACCTTATACTTGTGGTGGGTTCATGCGAGGAGAAATGGATTAGCTTTCCCGATCATCCCCCCCACCCTGACCTTCAGACCCCAAATCCTGAGCTCTTCCCCAAGATACGCGAAAACCCTGAGCCTAAGCACTTTGCCTTGGAACCTTGAGAGCTGAACCATCGACGCAGGCCCTCATCAAGGATCCGGACAACATGGTCAGCGAGCTGCTCCACAAGGCACCAGCCGCTTAGGAAGCCAGGGATTTAGGGATGAACCCATGCGTGAGTCTTGTCAGAATTGCCCAGCAAGTTTTATTGATAAAAGAAGCCACCTCGCGGGTCCAAGGCAGAGTTCCGAGAGGAATTCAGGACATAGAACTTCAGCACAAGAGAGACAAATTGTTACGTGCCACCGGCAAATAGGAGGAGGAGAAAGAGGACGCGGGTCTTGGCAGGGGTGACAGCAGCTAGGCTTCGAAAATCGTAAAATGTCAAATGAAAAAGCCCTCAAGGCCTTGGGCCGAAATTGGGTAGCCCTCGGCACCGACCCCCCCAGCCTTGTCACTGCGCACGAGAATTGACAGTCCACAAGGCCGCTTACTGCAACAACACCCTCGGGCTGAGCCCTGTGGCAAGCGAGCGGCGCCTCCGTGGCACAGTGGGGGTTTTGGCCCGTTGTGTAATGAGTTTTTTAAGGGTCAGCACGTCTTTAAGAAGCCCCGTTTGTCCCCCTCTTCTCGCTATGACCAATCTTTCTGCTTTTGGTGTTAGCGGTTTTCCGCAATGGGATTATGAGGTTGTCCTGCCAGTGCGCTTCTTACTGGCAGGTGACACCCTGAGCACTAGCATAATTTGTGCTGCTCTTGTAGTTCTTAATGCTGCACTTTAGAATTGAGGCAAAGGTAACGTGAATCATCAATACGGCCAAGCCGGTGTAGCATCCAAATTCCAAAGTAAACTGCCCCAAATCTCAACTTGTGTAGGTGAATCAGGAACGAGGGGTGGCGTTCCAGGCGCTGGGGCTTTGGGTTCTGGTTTGGGGATCAGAGCTTCTTGTTGAAGGGTTCCGTTTGGATTTTTGCAGCATGAGGATCCTGGCTTGTTGGGCTTGTTCAAGCCGTACTCCTGCCTTCGCAAGGTTTCTTATGTTTTGTGGATGTCAACTCACCTATTTGCCAAATCCTTCAAAGACGATCACACGAGACTTCATCCTTTTTATATTCAAGGCTGTCAGCGCTCCCAAAGCACAGGGCCTCAGGCTCCAAATCATCAACTCCCGCCCAAGCCAACATGGGCTGGCCCCTGCATGGCATCTCTGAAGCAAGTCAATATATCAAGCCCGAACGATCCAGACCTTTGCAAGGAACTTCCATGATTGGGGTATGGCGTTTAGGTACTTAAGAGAGCCCTCACCTCTAAGCCTGAAGCTGCTGAAGGTCCATGAGCTACTTCACCCCAGAGACCATCCGGGGCTACCTCCTCGACCACTTCGCACCTGACGCTTGGCGACCGACAGGTTGAAATCGAAAGGTTCGTCAGGGCGTTTGATTTCTCGCTTGTTTATGTTTGCATTTTTGGGTGGTTGTTATTAATAGCATACATGAAGACTATGCGATTTTCGTACCCTCAAGGGCCATTGTTTGTAGTGCATGTTGTTTGCGGAGAAGCCTAGGCTTCCTCAGCTCTCTGCCAGGAAGAGAAATAGTTGAAGGGGCATGCAGGGCCGGGACAGCCCAAACACGGGTTACAGAGTCAGCGTTTCAGGTGAAGCTAAGTTGACCCTGGAACTTATGCTTGCAGCTTGGAGGTGTCTTTGAACACCTTGGATCCAGAGCCCTAACCAGCGAACTGCCCTTCACCCAGAATCTAATCCTTGGGCTTCAAAGTGTAAACGGAGCTTACCCTGACATCCCGAAAGATTCTGAGGAGCGTATGGTATTCGTCGGCGTTAACGTGGCACACTCTGAGCTCTCCAAATGGGTGATGCGTGACGCGGCTACATGTTGGTTCCGAGCTTTTTGATGTGGTAGCACAAGAAAGGGAGGCCCTAAGCCCAGCACTTTACAGATCGTAGCTTGGAGAGCTTGGAGAGGTTGTGCTGTGGGGGAGGCTGGCTTAGGTCATTTAAGGCTTTGGGAGCTTGAGTCCTTTGAAACGCACTTTAGCAGAGACATCTTGAAGGTCAGGTTCTCAAAAGCTGTGCTATTTGATTGGCCCGCACCATCGTTGGATGAATTATTCTAAGACAGTTCTTGGGAGGCAGGATTGCTCGTTCGAGGGCCGTTCGAGCTTTCTTGAAAACGGCCACCATTGATGGAGTAGGGCGCCTTAGGCAACTACCATGATAAGTATTGGCAAACTTGATACTGCTGATCAAAGTTTTCAGGTAGTCTGTGCAAAGCACCTTCGAACCCTCTATCAGGCCCATTGGGATAAGAGGCACCTGTCTTGGCTCATCTCCTGGCTTTGCAACCACATGGTAGATTTGGAGTGCACCGAGCGAGGTTCCTTCGCGGACTACAACGCCATCCCTCTGAAGAAGCGGGAAGACAAGAAGGTGCGAGGATTCAGACATTATACATGTTGGATTCCAGGGTGTTGGGCCTCCACAGGGTTCCGGTCTACCAGCGTACGCCCTGTAAGATAGCCCAACCTAGGGCCTGCGAGCATTGGAAAGAAGCTAAGCTACCAGCAGATAAGCTGTTTGCACGAGGGGCAAAGGCAGACAATGCTAAAGACAGCCTCAACCATGAACGCTACGCTCATCCTACACAGAGGAAAATTCTGCTGTAAATGCCTTTCCTGTTTGGAGCCTGTTGAGGTAGCATAGACGTTGGTTTGGGGTTACCGAGAGGATAGCAAAGAGTTGCTACAATGATGCTTCGCCATGATAGCGTCATAGATTGCTCCTCCCTTGGGCACCCTTGGAGAAGCAGTAGCTCACAGCAAAGGGGAACTCTTAACCACAACCTGACGCCTGAACTCTAGAGCTACACTCAGATGTGAAATCCAAAGCTGCCTTGATGCCTCTAAACAGCGATCTCCAAGAGTTGAATGTGTTTAGGCGCTGTACACGGGTGGCGACATGCGCATGGAGGGCGCCTCGCCCTACTGCCACCTGGCACTTGGGTGGCGGCCTCGGGTTGGGGGTGAACATGATATTTTTGAGTGGGTCACACAGGATCTTGCAAAATCAGAAAGGTTACCCGCTATCCCAACTGGACTTACAATGCTATCTCCTGTATGCCAGCCCCAAATTTGTTCCAACAGGTACAGAACTTTGATTTCCTACTTATCCTCATGCATAACTGAATTGCATGAGGTCCTGCAAAACTGCATACAGTCAAGGATTTATATCACGCCGTGGAAGGAGCTTCACGTGGTGCATCATGGTCAGGGATATACACACAGCTCGCCCCAAAAGACCCACCGACATCAAGACCACCTCGCAGACTTAACAGTGCAGATCTTGTAGGGTTGTTGTACATGAAGGGTCCATGCCGCGCATCCCCTAAAACAGCTACAAGCTACGTGTACTCATTGTAGATCCCTCCATGGAGCCACAGGACGCCCAGACATCTATTTCAAACCCTTTCTTCCACATAAACCCGCAACCCTGGTCCTGAAAGCCTTACGTAGTGCATGCCCTAATCTCCAAAGTCTCATAAATTCCTCACTTGCTTGGCTTACCCCCGATTCCTAACCCCTTAAACCCAATCCCTGGAATCCCAATTATAGTGTTATAGTACTATAGTACTATATCTATGTATATATTTATATATATAGATCTCTCTCTCTCTCTGCGGTGAGGTTCGAGTCCACGGCCTTCGGCCAGGCGGAGTTGGCTCCGGTGGCCTTGGTCCAGGCTTGGGGCCAGAGCAAAGGTTGATTTTGAGGTATATGTTGGGCTTATATAGGGATAATGGACAAGACAATGGAAACTACTATTTGGTCTTCAGTTTGGGGTTCTGGGGGCTGGGAGGCTAAAGAGGGTGGGAGTTTTTTTGAACCATGGGGCTCTGGATACAAAGATTTACTACTGTACATTCTACTGTGATGTGTTGGGGAACTCAATTTATTTCGAATGTCTTTACGTTCACGCAGGGGCTAGATGGGTTTCCGCAGGTTTTTCTGTGTCCCAAGGTATCCTGGAGTAGAAATCCCTTACCTGGACCCGAGCCTGGACCATCTTCCTTGCCTGGACCCTTGACTTGATCCCTGTATACGCAGAGGCCTGAACACTTAAACCACAAAGTTGTATGTTCAGAGTATTCTTCCATGTAAGACAATGCTACATCGCCCTCAGAACTCCAGGCTCTCCTGGGTGGTGGCTCAGCAGTCTACAGCGGCATCGGCTCGGGTCTTACCTCGCGCCTCTCCACGCAGGCCCAGCCTTGATGGTGAGCCATGGGCAGTAGGGTTGGCTTCATAGCTGCCTTTCAGAGGCCCTGACCTCACTCAGATCGAAAGACGTCATGCTAACGACACATGTACAAAGTGCCACCTCGGGGGGTCTTTGAGGTTCCAAGGTTCACAGTTGAACCAGCATTGCATTTTATATCTTGGCCTAGAAGGAGAAGGCTCTGAGAATCAGCAGCAACATTGCTTGAGAATTAGCGGTTGAGTGGTAGGAGAATTTCATCAAAATCCTGTCACAACCTTCCACATGTCTCACCCTTGATGCATGGTCAAGAATCCATGCTCTACAAGTGTGCAAGATCCAGGACCATGTTACATTCTGCTTGCTCCTGCCCGGCCTGCAGGTCCTCAAGCAGAGCCCCTACGTGGAAAGCTGCGCAGCCTTCAACACCTCGTGCCGCGGAAGGAGATGGAGCTGAGGGTTGCAGGGATTCTGCAGGTTCCTGATGACGGTCCAGGCAGATGTCTCAAATTCACAGCAGTTTTTGAGAGCGCCTATTCTCTTCATGCGTATTGAACCCTTGTCCTCTAAACATGAACCGGTGTAGAATCCATAGCAGTGTTAGGTGTATACCGCAAGCAGGGCCAGACATTTCTTTTTTTCCACTATGAGGAGCCCCAAGACGAAGCACATACTGTTGAGGTATGCCGCTATAACTCCTACAAGCGCTTACATCAATCCTGATCCAAGCCCGGTTTGCTCCCGTCCAGTCTGCGATTACATGCCCATGCATCAGCATAATTCAAATGCTCATTTCTACAGAACCCTTACGTAATCTCGACCCTCCTCCCTGAACCCGAACCACATAGTCCCTATGAAGACCTGACCGCTAAATCTCACATACCTCAAAGCCTCAGACTGATCTTGCAGGTACTCGGACTCCGGCCTCTTTGGAGTCTACGGAGTCTGCCAGCCGGAGAAGGCCCCGGACTCTGATGAAGCTGACGGGGTTTCTGAGTTTCAGGGGTTCTCAAAATCGACGGGTCCCAATGCAGGGCTTAACAAGGATAGAACACCAAAAAGGTGTTAGACAAAAAGGGTACGGTGGCGTAGTTACTGTACAGGGATTAGAGGATGATTAGAGGATGTCTGGAATTTCTCTTGCAAGTATCAGTTAAAGGAAGCCCCTAAACCTGACGGCCTTAAGCCTGAAACCGGAATCACGAACAGCTCATGGTCCCTCAAAGATCTCTGTCGCCATTGGCGTCTTCTGGTTGTGGGAGGGTTGTGGCCGAGCAACCCCAGAAAGGTCGCACCCAATTGTGCTGGCCCTACAAGTTTCATCATCCTGTACAGATCTTAGAGGCTCGGGCCTTAAAGAAACTGCGGAATAAGATTTGCAATCGCACGGAAGCAGCAACCTCCCATTCAGGTTTTCCTCACAGTCGGGGCCAGATCACATACCTCAAGGTACTAGGCCTACGACTGGTGAGCGGGAATACATCATGAGTGGTGTCAGATAGACAAGCACACAGCTGCACATGTTGATGACATTGAATGTGTAACTTGGGGAATAGCGCTTGACCCACGCACATGATATGCCCCTGCAAGCACCTTCGAGCATCGACCTTGCATGCCCATTCCAAGTGATAGAGCTGGCAGGAAGAGTCGACGGCGAGCTTTGCGTGGGCAGTCCAAACTCCGGTTCTAAACATGCAAGGCAGAAATAAGCCTGCGCCTACAACATAAGCCCAGAATCATAAACTCGCCGAACCCCGAACCTCATTTCGAGGAGTCGGCTGCCGTTCGTCCAACACTGTGAACCAGACACCCGACAAAAAAACACTAACCCAGAAACCGCATGCAGCCTGGGCACCTAGCAAGGCTGGCGATATGGCGATGTCGATCGCCTCCGTCCTAAAGGGCATGTCAACTATCAGCAAGGCATGGGGAGAAGCGTCAAGCGTGGGTAGGGCCTGGAGGTCATTGCACTTATCAGTAAATCCTTAGGTGTAGTAGTGGGGAAATGGGACAGGTTCCAGATTACGAATGCTGGGTGTGAGGTGCTGCAAATCCCAGAGTGGCTTTCAGCACTGCAGCGTTTGTGTGTGTGCCCTGGTCTGCGTGCAAATCAATCCGGATGATATTTGGCCTGGGGGCGGCCCCCTTGTTGATGAGTGAGTGATGCTTCTGAATTTTCTTTTGGAGCTGCTAAAATGCTCACACTCATTTTTTCCGCTATGCATGTGTAGAACATCGAGCGTTCTCTGAATTGCAGCCAGTACGGCTCCCATCAAGGTTGGGTTGTTGACGGGTTGCGGGGAATAGAGCCTTCCGAATTCTTGTTAAGCCTTCTTCTAAGTCCCTGTCCAACAGTTTTTGGGCTGCATCTGGACAGATCTAGGAATTCGATTTTTTGTTGAGCTTGTCGGTTCGGGGGGAATGTTCATCAATTCTGCAAGTTGGAATTCCGAACAGCTCAAGGATCCCAACCGCCTCAACAGATCCGCTGAACCAACGCCGCTCAAAAGCTGAAGGGCTTTATGCTGATAGCGCTTCACGTGCGCTTCTGCAGGATGAGTTGGCCAAGGCCAAGGCAATGCTGAAGGGCAAGATGTTCCGACAGGCCATGGCCATGGTTCTCTCTCTTGAGGAGGGAGGGTCTGGGTTGGCAATATGCGGGATTTATGCTGACACTTGGAGAGCTTATGCGGCAAGGAGCGGGGAGGGTTCAAGAGGTGGATGTTGCAGGAATACGATGTAGCTGTTCAGGCCTAGGATGTTGGGCATGTTTGCTTTTTCCATTCAGGGTCTATGGGGTTTTCGATTTAGTTCTTTGTATTCATTTATTCGAGATGTTGAGCTCTGGCCTTCAGGACCTGTTTCCATTAGCTGTTAGATTTCTGTGTTCGGGCTTGAAAACGCTGGTCTAGAACCCTCTGAACCGAACCAACAACGCAGAGCTGCAAGCCGCTGCCCCAACTTTGCCCTCAACATTAACGTGTGCTTTCGTAGGCAGACAACGACAGCGAGCTCATGCAGGCTAGCTCCCGCGCCTGTCTTGTGTGGGCAAATTATGGTGACTTCACCTCATCCCAACGCAAATTGTAAAATGATAGTCAGTCTGGACTGTTTCCTTACAAGGTCCTTGTTTAAGGTCAGTGAGTTGCTCGGGTTTGGCCAGTCTGGCATGGGGATTTTGAATCTGAGGCTGACAGAAATGCGGACTTCGGATCTGCCTGGGAGTTTGGAAGCCAACTAGCACAGCCTGCAATTTCGTTGCAGTCAGAGAGTTGTTCAGGAAGCACGCGAGAAAGT